GGTTTCGTGTCTTAATAAAACACTGTTATTTTATTAAACACATTTTGGTTACAAAGATTCATTGGGGAATCTTTGACGTACCTTGGAATATTTGTGAGAGATTATCTCTAGGACGACGGACTGTTTTATATAATCTCTAATTCCTTCTAAAAACTACCACTCGGATATGGATTAAATGGATTTGATCACAATACTTTATTAAACTTTTTGTTTTTATTATTAATTATTATTAAAACAGATTTTTTATTATTAATTTAAAAATCATTAACTATATAGAACTAATTTATTTTTTATAAAATTTAATTAATATTTTGTTTAAATTAGACTATTCATATAATATTATTTATATATACTAATATAACTTGTTTAATAAATAACTTTTAATATTTCTTTTGTTTTTAATTAGTTTATTAAAATCTATTAATTATTTGCATATTTCAAAATTTTGTTTTTTGAATTTTATATAGAAAAAAGTTATAAAAGATTTTTTATAAAAACAAAAAGATTATTTTATTTCGGTTAATTTTATTATTAGTTATGATTTTTTTTTATAAAATCTATATTGATAATTATTTTAATTATTTTATCTATAAATAATTTTAATATTAATTTGATAATTTTAATTGTAATTTTTAATAGTAGAATATAAATAAGATATATCTTTTCTATACAGTATATTCTTTTTTTTATACAATATTAAAATTAATAATATAATTAATTAAAATTAAATAGTTTAGAATTAAAGTTATGATTTAAAAATATTATTTTTTTAATATAATTTGATATTCTGTTATAATGTATAAAAAATTTAAAAAGTATATTAAAAATTAATTAATATTTTTTTAAAAAAAAATAAAATAAGAAGAAAATATTTTATTTTAATTTGAAAAAATTTCAAAAAAAATCTATTTATTTATTTTAAAAATAGTTGAAAAATTTTTTTTTGAATTAATTAATTGAAAATTACATTGATTTCAAAAAGTTAATAAAAAATCAATATCTTTTTTAATTAAAAGTTTTTGAATATAAATTTTTTAAAAAAAATATTATTCATTAGATTGACTTTTTTAGATTTCTTTTTTTTAACTATATTTAATTTAATTTTAGTATTTTTTTTTTAAATTTTTCAAAAATATATTGTTAAAATATATATAATAACTTCAAAAAATAATTTGAATTTGAATTTTTTTTTTGAATAAGCAAAAAATTTTTTTTTCTTTAATTATTTTTAAAAATCTTAATTGATTGCAAACAAAAATATTAGATTTAATAGACTTGTATAATGACTTTAATATCTCTTTAGTTTTTGGTTTTTCCATATTTAACAAAATATATAATATTAATACAATTAATTGAAATAAAAATAAAAATATTAAGATCTTAAATTTATTATTAATCTAATTTTTTTGTTTCAATTTTCTTTTACAATTTAACTCAATAACAAATTTTTTAAATTAAAAATATTAAAAATATTTTTTATTAAGTTTTATTATTCAAATATGTAATATTTTTCGTAATATCCAATGTTTACTTTATTAATAAGTTATAATTGATACTGTATTTACATTATATAAAGTAAACCTCGAGTTATATTGTGAAACATTCGCCAGATATTCATTAGCCAATCATATTTTATAGATTTATTTGGATTCCTTCTGCCTTCTTCCTTCTTAGGAACAATGTATACAAATATGGACGTTTATTTAAAATCGCTTGCGGTATAGCGAAGAACCAAGTTTGTGACGACAGCAGCTTTCAGGTGCAAGAAATTATCAGTAGGAATCGCCTATATAGAAAAAAAAACAACGAAATATTCCAATATAAAATAGTAAACCTACCGACAAGGAAGATGCAAAGAATTGTTGGACCAAACCTATCGTCATAAGGGCCCGACTCCCTTTTCCTTATCTTCGTGGCTCTCCAATGATATATGAACAGTGCGTAAATCATAATAGCCATAGCTTTTATAAGAAAAGTCAGAAATCAGAAAGAAAACGCGTTGATTGTGGAAAAAAGGAAACCATACTTAAATGTTCAAATACATACCAACGAGGGTGAATACACCAGCAGAAATTTTTCCTATTTTATCACCGAAGTTGAGAAGACCGATCGAGAGGCCTCCCAATATGACAGTAAAATGCAGCCAAGAAAGGAAGGTTCTTTCGTTGGCGAAGAAAACCTGTTTCGTTGTAAACGAAAGAAACATTAGGAATAAAATGCGAGAAAGAAAACTTTCACGTCAATTTTCACATTACATACTTTAGGCTCTACCCTTACAGGGAGAGCTATGCGTTTCTGAGGTGCTTGAGCAATCGGTTGGGTTGACATTACTTCAAAATTCCTTTTATTTTTTTGCGGAGAAAAGAAAAAGAGATGAAAAGTAACCCTCTTTAAATAAGTTCACTCGGTAACACCAAGGCAAGATTATCCAAATGGCGCTTACTGCAGTCCTTATCCGGAACATGTCTTTAAATTTAAATTTCAGCCCTACGCAAAAATTAAAAATTCAAATTATCCAATTGAAATGACAAAAAATCCGATGGTTACGTTAAACCCACATGATGATTGATTGATTGATCAATTTGCAATTTTTAAAAAATTAAAAATTTTTGTGGGCAAAATGTATGTATATAATATACATATAATATTTATAAATTATTAGAGATTATGTAAAACCAATTTATAACCGACCTTACATCCTTATTATAAAATCTAATGTTAAGGAATCTTTGCAGATGAGAACTTTTTTTATATATAAAAGACAAGAGGATAGTGATTTGGGGACATTATTTTTACTATCTTCTTCACTCATCCATAATTCAAACGAAAGATGTCATTAAGTACCCAGTAGGTGTTAGCTTCAGGAATGAGTTGGAATGCTTGGGTAAATCTCTGTGGGTTTTGCTCTTCGTCAACCTATCATAAACAAACAAAAAATTAGAGACGGGAATTTTTTTGTTATTAAAATTTTTCACATTCTTAATGAGATTACCAATAATTCTCCAGTAACCACTACAAAAATGCCATTAGAAATGCTAGGTTGAGCATCTATGGAGGCGATGCGATGTGCAACTCGTTGAAAGGCTAA